ACTATGTGCTGAGTCATCTACATAAGATGTCTGCCTTTAGAATCAGGCTCTTTCTTTTTTTAATCATATTTTTTATTATTCTTGTATGTATGTGTGTGCATGTGTATGTGTGCCACAGCACATGTGTGGAAGTCAGAGGACAATTTGCAGAAGTCAGTTCTCCCCTTCCAGTGTCCTAGGGATCAAAATCAGGTCGTCAGGCTTGGTGGCAAGCTCCTTTACCCACTCAGCCATCTTGCCAGCCCAAGATGCTCATTCTTTTAACCATACCCATGTCATTTTCTAAAGCTCCTCCACTTTGGTTAAACAATGAAAATTTTCTAAACTAAAGTAACTTATTCTTTTAGATTTTTGCTCTTCCCACCCTATCGAACCCGTCATGGCTGGTCATGAGAGATGTTTATTGATCACCTGGTATCCCTTGGTTTTAGTGAGCAAATTTATTTTCAAAATTAATAAATGGTACAATGGCACTGGGGAGATGACTCGGTTGGTAAAGTGCTTGCCACACACGCATGAGGACCTAGGTTCAATCGCCAATCAGCTGGATGTGGTGAATGCCCCTGTAACACTGGTGCTAAGGAAGCAGAGACAGATAGGAGAGTCCCTGGGGCTTCCTGGACAGCCAGTCTAGTGGAGTTGGTGAGCATCAGGTTCAGTGAAAGACCAAGTCTGAGGCCATAAGTCCAAGATACAGGTGCTTCAGCAGGGTGGGTTTCTCCTGAGTCCTCTCTGCTGGGCTTGCAGATGGTCATCTTCTCCCTATTTCGCGTGCCCTTTCCTCTGTACTGGTCTATGCGCCTGTCATTTTTTAACTGATCACTTATTTCCCTAGCTACCCCTAGGAATGGCCAACTATGAGCCAAAAAGGAAATTTTTCAGTATCCTTCTGAGAGACTAGGAGTCAAACAGCTCCCCAGTAGGCAGATAGACAGGGAAAAGATGATCTAGAGTAATGTACTTTTAATTTACTTTTAATTTTTAATTAATGTACTTTTTACTTCAACATTTAAGATGGCTGACTTTTGCTGTTTCTCCCTCTTCAAGACAAAGATTTACTAGGCTTTTTCCCACTGAAGGGAACTATTCAGTGGGACTTTCAAGTTTCCTGCTGGGAAGACTCCTATGATGGGAACCAATCAGTTTCCCTTTCTTTGTCTAAATTATCCAATCCCCTGAAATAGCCCAAACCAGCTAATTCTGAAGGAAAAGGGAACGCATTCCACTCTGAACATATAAAAGTTTTAAATCTGCCAGGAAATTTGGACACCATTTTAGGATCCCCTCTGCACTGGGGAGTTTGTGTCTTTTTGTGCTTTGCTCTGTGTGTCTGTGTGTCTGTCTGTGTCTATCTGTGTCTTTGTATGTGTGCTTCTGCTTTCAACAAAATTTAGCTGAGTGTTGAGACCTTGCTTTTCTTGCCTTTTTATACTTTAAATTGGAAAAGAAAAAGAATCTTTTCCTGTAACGCTAGACAACCTCACCATGACAGCATCAATTCAGAGGCTCTCTCATCTGAGATTCACCCAAGGTCAGTACTTGCCAAGCCAAAATATTAAGGAACTGGAGAGTGCAACCAGGGCCTTTTCAGAATCCTGGGATGAGGGGGCAGCTGAGCCCCCAGGCTGCATTTTTGTTTCTCCTCTCTTTGAAAGGCTAATGAGGAAAGCCCCCTTAGACACCTCTCCTTCTAACTCTAATGCCTGTACATCAGAGGACAAAAGAATTCTTCCAGACAGTTAGTCCTCCAGGCAGCCAGTGTGGAGGTCTATGACTGAAGAGTTCCTGGAATCCATCACTGACAGCTGGCTCTATGGAGGCTTCATGTATTTTTCCCCAAGATCGAATCTTATACTTGTACCCCTCTACAAGTACATTGCACTTCTCCCAATTATTCTAGCTTCCCTCAATGAGAAATTCTTCCATAGGCATATTTGAACACTTGGTCCCCAGTTGGTGGCCCTGTTTGTATAGGGTTAGGAGGTGTGGCCTTGCTGGAGGAAGTATGTCACTGGAGGTTGGCTTTGAGAGTTCATAGCATGGTCCCACCTCCAGATTCTCCTGTTCTCTCCCTCTCTCTCTCTCTCTCTCTCTCTCTCTCTCTCTCTCTCTCGCTCAGTCTTGCTTTCACTCTTGCTCTCGCTCTCACTCTTTCTCTCTCTCCTTCTATTTCCTGTTGGAGATGTGAGCTCTCAGGTTTAAGTTTCTGCCACCATGCTTACCACTCGCTACCATGCCTCTATGCCATGACAGCCTGGAACCATCAGTCCAAATAAAGTCTTTCTTCTATAAGTTGCTAGAGCCATGGGGTTTATTACAGCAACAGAAAAGTAATTATTTCCTCATTTTATCTCACAAAATAAAAGGGGCCATGAACAGGTAGTTAGAAATGTGCAAAAGTTCTTTACACAAGTTAAACCACTTGGTGACCAAAGGTTTGTGAACAGAGACTAAGAAAAAAAAAATGTGTTCTATTGATCAATGACCTGGCTCATACCACAGTGTATTCTTTTAAATATTTTTACTGATTTCATACAAATTCTGATCATACTGAACCCCCCTCCTCCATGATCTCTTATATCTACCTTCACCTCCCTACCTTCCCCAACTTTATGTTCTATTTTCTTATAAAGCCCATCAAGTCCAATTTATGTTCTTCAAATTGGGGGTCCATTCTTTGGTGCATGGTCAACCTACCAGGGGTCACACTCTTAAAGAGAACTAACTCTCCCACTCCAAGCAGTTATCAATTGTCAATAGCTCCTCAGCTAGGGGAGGGAGGATTAATGGCCCCCCACATGCTAGGATTTTCTGTGACTTGAGCTTGTGCAGGTCTTGTACATGCTGTCACAACTGTTGTGGGTTCATATGTACAATTGTCCTCTTGGGTCCAGAAAAATTTTTTGTTGTTGTCATTCACAGCCTCTGTCTCTTACAATCTTTTCATCCCCTTTTCTAAGACAATCCTTGAAGCTTGTGGGGAGGTGTGTGATATGGGTGTCCCTTTTAGGGCTGAGCACTCTGAAGTCTTTTATTCTCTGCATGTCTCTGCGTGTCTCTATTTTAGTCACTATCTACGAGAAAAAAGAAGCTTCTCTGGTGCATTAATATATGGGTATAACAATAAGTCATTAGGAGTCAGTTTAATACTATGACCCTTTAGCAGAATAATAGTAATTGTAGTAGGCTCTCCCCTACCATCTATGACCTGTCTGAACACAGGCTCTTGGCCCCAATAATGGTGCCAGGCATGGGCTCCATTTTATGGATTAGACCTCAAATCCAATCAGAAAGTGTTCCGTTACTTCCATAGCATTTGTGCCACTATTGCACCAGTGGGCATATCTTGCTAGAGCAGTCATTACTGTAGCTTTCAGGGTTGACACTTGGATAAGACTGATGATTATTTTTCTCTTCTGGTAGCTTGCACAGTACATTCCAGCACTGTGAAAGCTAGCAAGTAGGGATAAAGTTTTGAGGTCAGTACCAGCTTGCTCTTGGTTACCTTCCAGAATTCGATGGTAAGACCCTATTGCTGAAAGCACTACATACTTTAGTCATAGAATATAGAGAAATCAAAGCAAGGTGTAGTCTCACACTGTTCAGTGTAAATGTGACTAGGGTGCTGGAAGAAGGAAAGCCCCTGCTCCATGAAGAGTAAGGGCCACAGGCTGGGTGGCTGGGAAGGCACATTGCCTACACCACGAAGGGAAAAGAGAAAGGAAGAAAGGTGGGAAGGGAGGGAGGAAAGGAGGAAGGGAGGGAGAGAGAGAAGAAAGATGAAAGAAAGAGAGACAGAGAAAGAAATAAAGAAAGAGAGAGAGAAAGAAAGAAAGAGAAAGACAGAAAGAAAGAAAGAAAGAAAGAAAGAAAGAAAGAAAGAAAGAAAGAAAGAAAGAAAGAAAGGGAAAAATTCTTTTCTATGAGTGGAAGAACTCATTGCCTAAGATAGCGTTGGGCCACATTTTTTAGGGACTAAGTGTTACATTTACAGTGCAACCTCTACACCTAAGGCTCACAGAATATAGAACAAGGGGTAAAGAGGACACTAACAAATATCTCAGTTCTCATTAATGAAGCTCCTTCATGCAACAGAGGGCCAGGAATACAAAAAGTCACAAATGGCCAAAGGATAGGGATTAATAATCTGCAGAATCCTGGTCCTTGGACAGACTCCTATATTAAACTCCACCTACCCAGGGCTCAGGGACCATTGTGGACGAGGGAGCAGGAAGGGTTTTAAGAGCCAAGGAGGAGGTGAATGACCATGTGGAAATAGTCTTACAAGCTCCCAGGACTCTGCGCATATGAACCTACAGCAATCCTGTCAGAATACACAAAATCCATGCAAACTCAAGCAGACAAAAACCCAGCATAGAACTGGGAAAATGGACAGCAGACTCCAAACTTAGCTGAAGAAATATTGTCAACTGATTACTGCAGGGCGAGAAAGAGCTGATCTCCAGATAGGCTAACTAGACCTCAGTAGATGAATTTGCACTGAGGAACATCTGGGACACTAACTTGACATAATAGGCCTTAACACAAATGACAGAATGTATGAATTCCAGTAGGGGGGTGTTATGGGAGGGTGCCAGTGGGGAAGTGGCTATAAAAATGATTAAGATTGATTGAGATGTTCTGTATGAAATACACAAAAATTCAATAAAAATCCTTTTTTTAAAAAGTTACAGTGATTGAACCTCTTTCACTGAGATGGTATTAAAAAGCAATCAGTGAAAGACTTGATTTATTCAAGAACAACCTAAAAAGATAAAAAGATTTGTAAATATGTAAAGGTATTCTGAGAAATAACATCAGTGCAAAAAATGAGCGACTATTTTCAGAACAATTAGTTAAACACAAAATCTAATGAATCTGTTTCTACAAATACTAATTCCAAGGGAAGAACTGAGAAGTCTTTCTGCATGTTGGTCTTCTCTCCTGTAACAATAATCACATCTAGTGTCTCCCTCTCCAATAAGATATGTCAAAGAAGCTCTTGTTCAATTTTAATAAAAACAATTTTAGAATTTGAGAAAATGTATTCTTCTGAATAATGGAAAAACAAGTATACTATTACAAAACTATGATAACCAGGAGAGTGTGATGGCTAAATATCACACAATTCCAGTCACCGAAACAGTCCGTCCTAGTGACTGCCCACTGTGTGCCATCCCTCCCAGATACAAGCTGCACTCACAACATTCACAAGGGAGTAACCTCAAAGTTCACCCTCCCAACCCTGGGTTTTGCTCAAAGTCCAAGATCTGGGATGATGTGAAATGCTCCCCTCAGGGTCTGATGTGGTAACTCAATCTGGAAAATGTAAAGTCAAATTATCACCCCAATACAAGAGGCGAATCATTAGTGAATCATATTCATTTAAAATTTCATAAGACATTGGTCCAATCAATGGTAAATTAAGTTCACTGGGTTACATTTCCAGCTGCTTTACAGCAATTCTCAAATTTGAATGATTTTCCTTTTTTTTTTAGTGAATAAATGACATGAAAAAACATAAGAAACCACAGAGTCAGCCAGCACTGTCACTCAGAGGGAGAGCATTTGCCCAGAACTCGGGAGACAGTGGTCCAGTGAGAGCTAGGTTAATGTTTACTTTTCAAGACAAGGTCTCACTATGTAGCCCAGGCTGGCCTCAAACTTTCTATGTAGCCCAAGCTAGTCTCTGAGTACTACAGGTGCATGCCAGCCTAGCTAACACTCTGTTTTAATGATTTCATGATGGGGAGAGGGATCAAAGACTAAACGTGTCTCAAGAAGGGAAATTTAGAAGATCCTTGTGGAGTAAGTGGGAACCTCAGTAGACAAAATCCAAGGCAAAAGTAAAATAAAGGATCCTGGGACTGTGATTTCATTCGAAGTTTAAACTGCCTTACTGACCTTGACCATCACAAGTCTTGAGCATCATTTAACGCCATCCTGAAAGAGTTCAAGATTCCTGCCTCCTGAGAAACCATTTTCTTTAAATTCTACAAATATCCCTTAGATATGGCAGGCATAGTGTGATGGCCCAGTCCTGTAATCACAGCACTAGGAGCTCGGAGGCAGGAAGATCCATACAAGTTTGATTTTTTTTTAATTTTTTTTTTATGTGAATATTGCCTGCATGTAAGTAAGTGCACCCATGTGGGCACCAATGCCCACAGAGGTCAGAAAAGAGCATCAGATCCCCTGGAACTGGATGGAGTTACAAACATGTTGCCTGCCATGTAGGAGCTGGAAACTGAATCCAGGTCCTCTGTAGGAGCAGCCAGTGCTTTTAACCTCTGAGGCATTTCTCCCCCCACCCCAACCCACCTCCTTTTTTTAAATGATAGAAATGAAGTGCAATTAAAAGTTTGACTTAGTGACCCAGAGCCTCAGACTGTCCGAAATCTGTTCCCTCTCTGGTAAGGCTCAAACACCTACCCCAGCTCTCACTGGACCACGTGCTTGAGCACTTCATCGCCTGGAGGCCCAGATGTCACTAGGAAGACAGTGAGCACTTGGGCTCCAAGAAGCCAGCCCCGCCTCCCTCGCCCAGGCCACAGGTGGTTCTCTGTCGTCCTCCACCGCCCTCTGCTGGTGCGCGGTGAGGCGCAGACACAGGTGACAGCTCTGTTCTGGGATCCACAGGTGGATGGGGCTCAGGCGGTCCAGGCCGGGTGTGGGGGTCACTGCGCGCCCCGGCTCAGCCGCTCCACCCGCAGCCACAGCCCGCCCTCCGCGCGCAGGATCAGCTCCAGCTTTCTACGCGGCTCCACGTCATCCGGCAGGACGCGGAAGCGCAGCAGCGTCAGCGCCAGCGCCACCTTCATCTCGCTCATGGCGAACGTCTGTCCAATGCAGTTCCTGCAGGAGGACCGGGCTGGGGACTCTGCGCGGGACCCAGCCAGGCCATCGGACCGAACCCGCCCAGGTCCCCGCCGGGGCTGGTGCCCTGAGGGTCCGCGAGGGGCTGACGTGCCTGGGACCCCGCGTGGGCGTCCGCGTCACCGAGCCCGGCACAACCTCAGCACCCAACTCAGACCCAGGAGGGACTCAGCACAGGGCGCCGCCCTTGACCTTCCAACCCCGGTCTCCAAACCTGTGCACAGAACCTGCGCAGAGGGCGGAAGGAGACCCGGAACCAACCATCCCATCTTCCTGCTGTCCTCTGATCTCACCTGGGTCCGGCGGAGAAGGGAATAAAAGCTAGAGGCGACCTCTTCTGCTGCGGACTTTCCGGGTCAAAACGGAATGGGTCATAGACCTGGGGGAACGCAAGACTAGGCTGTTGTCTCTCAGCACACCCATTCAAGACAGATGTGGAGACAGGAGAATGGACAGCAGTTGGCTTCCCAAGTTAGGGAACTCCCCAGGTCCCAGCCATGGGGTGAGGGTAGAGACGCACCTCAGGGTCGGGCCAGACTGATGGGTTGTGATGAAGCCCGAAGATGCTGATGACACAATCGTTACCTTTTGGCAGGAGGGAACAGTCAGGAGAAGGTCCACGCTGCTGGTGGAAACCACTTAGAGGGCTCCTCCCGCTGTGCTCTGGGCACCTTTGGGGATGACCCTGCCATCTGGGAGCACAACGTCCTGGGTGCAGCAGCGGGAGATGGCAGTAACGGGGATGTAGCCTCAGACTCTCCTTGATACACATAGTCAGGAAGAGCAGCTGGGCCAGGTCGTCCTTAGGGAACACCACCACTGTTTACCTAATGGGCATGAGCAGAAACCAAGCCCAGGCCTGTGACATCCTTAGTGGTTAGAGGTGTATCTCGAAAGCCTGATGAACTGAGTTTGATCACCAGACCCAACAAGGTGGCAGGAAAGAACTGACTTCCAATAGTTGTCCTCTGACCTCTACACATATGTCATGGGCCACATGTACACACACACACACAGAGAGAGCTCTGCCCACTTCATTGTCACTTGGTGAAACTCTTTCCACCTCCTGTGATATAACACTCAATTTCAGGTGAATCAAAATGTTTCTTCATTTTATTAATTTGGGAGGGGGCAGAGGTTACTTTCAGGCATCTTCAGGGTATCTTCCATCCCTCTCCACCTTATTTTTTGAGACAGGGTCTCTCACTGAACTTGAGCTGGATGTTTAGATTAGATTGGCTAGCCAGCACAACTCGGTCTTCCACGCCACACACACCCAGTACGGGAGTTATAGGCACATGCCGGCCACACCAGACTTCTACACGAATTCTGGGAATCTAAGCTGAAGTTCTCATGCTTGTGCAGGGAACATATTACCCACTGAGTCCTCTCCTCAATCCTGTTTGCATGTTTTGGGTTTGGTTTGTGTTGGGGACTCCTGCTGTGTAAAGTAGCAGTTTCTCCATGTCCGGAAAGCCCACGGGCTCAGATTCAAATGCAGAAACTCCTTTTTCAGCGGGGTGTCTTCCTGGCATCTTCCTGACTCATCTTTTGAAGTAGCCGTCACAGAAACATGGCCTCCAGTTCTGGAAATGCCAGGTTTTCCTGTGTGATTTTCAGGCAGTCTGGCAGCCTTGCAGGAGCTCACTTCCACATGTAAATGGGGCATCCTAAAAGTACCTATCAGCTAAGGTTTTTACTACCACCCCCATGGTATAAAATATCCTGGTTTTCCCCTCAATAATTGAAGCTGGAGCTGGAGCTGGATTACTAAGACTTGGAGCCAAGCAGAGTCAGGAGAATAAAGAGCTGTAACGCAGACTAAGCTGAGTCCCGTGTCTTATTGCCTACAATCCAGCCTCCCCCGGGGGGGCGCTTTCCTTCCGTCATCGACTCACGGAAACCCAGCGTTAGCCACCTCGCACCTTCCCGCCTGATCCAGCGGCTGGCGGATTTCGCATCTCGAGGAAGTGCATGGGTGAAATTAGGGTGGAACTCGGCCAGGCCAGCCCCCGTAGCAGAGGGACTCACAGCGGAGAAGCAGCCGAGAAGCAGAGCCTGCCAGCAACGCGCTGCAGGACCCGCCGCCTTCCCGGTGTGCACAGGGGACCGGCGCCACGTTAGCAGCTGGTGCCCCGAGATCCTGCGCACCCCATAGGTTTGGTTTTCCTGTTTGGTTGATTGGCTTGGGTTTTTGTTGTTGTTGTTGTTGTTGGTGGTGGTGGTGGTGGTGGTGGTGGTGGGGGGTGTGGGTGTGTGTGTGTGGGTGTGTGTGTGTGTGTGTGTGTGTGTGTGTGTGTGTGTGTTTGAGATAGGGCCTCACTATGTAACCCTGGCTGACCCGGAACTGGCTATGTAGACAAGACTGGCCTTGAATTCATGGAGATCTGAATGCCTCTACCTCCCAATGGCTGAGATTAAAGGTATGCACTACCACATCTCATGCCTGGCTGGGTGGTGTTGTGTTGTTTTGTTTTGTTTTGTTTTGTTTTAACAAGATTTCATGTAACCCATTCTGACCTTAAACTCCCTGTGCAGCCAAGAATGACTTTGAATTGATCCTTCTACTTCCACCTCCTTAGTGCTGGGAGAACAGGAGTGAGCCATTACCCTTGAGTATGAATCAAAAATTAAAGCAATAGAAAATCAAAACAAACAAACAAATAATAGGAAAAAATTGATTTGACATTTTTAGAAATATTTCTAAGGAAAACATACCTATCAAAAGATATCCTTAAATGTGTTTTCATATATGTATAAGAAAAAGCTTGGGGATACGGCTAGTTTGGCAGAGCATTTTCCTAGACTACAGAAGGCCCTGAATTCAACCCCTAGCACTGCATAAACCAGGCATGGTGGTACACACCTGTAATCCCAGCAATTGGGAGGCAGAGGCAGGAAGATCAGAATTTCAAGGTCATCCTTAGCTACATATTGAGTTTAAGGCCAATCTAGGATAAAAGAGACCCTGTCTCAAAAAGGAAATAATACAGGGCTGGAGAGATGATTCAGTGGTTCAGAGGACCCAGGTTAGATTCCCAGCACCCACATGGCGGCTAACAACTGTCCATACCTCCAGTTCCAGGGAAATCCGATGCCTTCTTCTGACCTCTGTGGGCATTGCATGACATGGGTACACTTAGCATATATGCTGGCAATACACTCATACACATAAAATAAAATTAATATTAAAAAATAAAAATAAGATAAAAAAATCATAAGTAGTGCCAAGCATGCTGCTCAGCACTATAATCACAGCACCAGAGACCACAGGACCTGTGCTCACCATTCAATCTTCTCAGACTCACGGTCCCTCAGGAGTTCCTGTACTTCCTGCCTGCAGCACTCCTGATATTCTGGGTGTCTTGCCAGGTTGTACAAGATCCAGGAAATCCCACTGGCAGTGGTGTCATGTCCTGAGGAGCAGACAGACAGGCTAGGGTCTATAGCTTGTTTCAGTACCACTGAGCAGACAGTGCCCAGACAGTGAGTGCCCCCCGCCGCCAGGATATAAAAGGGGTGGATAGAGGAATGGGGGGATTCAGGATCTCCCCACAACATTCACTTGGGATTGACAAACCCTTGCACCCTCTGTAGCTGAACACAGGGACCCTCACCTCCAAACATGAAGGTGCCGGCCTCTGCACGGATATCCTCGTCTGACAGTTCCTTTCCATGTTCATCCTGAAGACAAAACAAACCCCTCAACTCATGACATGTCTGAGGGCTCCAAAGTCTCACCAGAGACAGGCTCTGATACCCACTGTGCACACAGGCTCACCTCCCATCCCCTCCCCCACGTCCTCTTAAGAGTCAGCCCCACAGTCTCCTCCTTGGTTTCCTGCTGTGGTTTGCTCCTTCCATGCAGCTTCCAACAGAGTTACCTCTAAAACTTCTCTCTGTACTCTCCTTCCCTTTTATAAGCACCATCTAGGCTCCTCAGTACCCTCTTGACCAAGTCCAACTTCTTTTATCTAACATTGAACGTCAAGGTCCCTGGTTACCCCTGAATTCAGATCCCAGAGGAACCCACCTTGGCCAGCAAGAGCACATCAATGAAGTCCAAAGATTTAGACTTGACCTTGGCCTGGAGAAATTCATCAACACCCTGGCTAGCAAGGGTCCGGCGCCTCTCCCTGATGATGGTATCTGTAAAGTCGTGCACCAAGTTGCAGGCCTTGCTGAAGCACCACCCATCAGCAGTGAGGTAGTACAGGAAGTCCACATATAGGAAGAGCTGGTGTTGCCGTTTCACTACGAGGGAGCTGAGCTCCAAGATGGCAGCAATGTATTCACTGGGAGACCTGCAGGCCAGGCCAGAGAGGAAGCAAGAGCACATGTGAGACCCCAGAGCACCTCCAAAACCAGGATCCATCCAGGAAGAAAAGCACCTTCCAAACACACTTCTCCCTGCTCCATGCGCCCCATGAGTAGACTGGTACCCCGGGAATCCAAGGCAGACATGGGCAGTTTCCATCCCTCCTTCATTCAACATATATGTCAGCTTTTCTTTTTTGTTTTCTTACAAATACATCTTGTTTTCTGCACCAAGCTCAGTGCCTCCTCTCTTGCCCCCTTCTTCAAATATCCTTGCATAACATTCCTCTATTGAGTCAATTGTCCACATTCAGCTATATATACAACTTCCACCTGCTCAAGCATCTTCCAAAGCTCCCTGAGAGACTCAAGGTGGAGTTTACACCCTCTGGATGGGTGTACAGAATCCTTAAGATCTGGCAGTTGCTAGCTGGGCATGGTGGCTAGTGGCTGTAGTCCTAACTAACACTCAGGAGGAGGCAGGAGGATCATGAGTCCAAGTCCAGCCTGAACTACCTACTCAATTTCAAGCCAGCCTGGACTACATAGTGAGACACTATCAAGGAAAGAAAGGACAAAGGGAGGGAGGAAGGGAGGGAGGGAGAGAGAGAGAGAGGGAGAGAGGGAGGAAGGGAGGGAAAGAGGGAGGAACAAAGGGCTGTTTAACCTGTGATTGTTAACCTTGATTATTAGGTTGATTGGTTTAAGAAGTACTTAGGATAGCTGGGCTTGGTGGCACATGCCTTTAATCCCAGCACTCGGGAGGCAGAGGCAAGTGGATCTCTGTGAGTTTGAGGACAGCCTGGTCTCCATTAGCAACTCCAGGCCAGCTGCAGCTACAGGGAGACCTTGTCTCAAAATGACCAAAAAAAAAAAGAAAAAGAATTACTTAGGATATTAGTAAAGCACACTTCTTTTTCAGTGTGTGTGTGTGTGCGCGCATATATGCACGTTCACATAGTTGTCTGTATATGTGGGGGGCGTGGTGAGTATGCACATGTATGCACGTGTATGTGGAGTGCAGAAGCCAACATCAGGTGTCTTCCTTGATTGTTTTCCACCTTAGTTTTTTGAGAAAGTGTCTCTCACTGAACCCGGAGCTCGTTGATCCTGCTAGTGTACCTGGCCAATGAGCTCCAGGGATCCTCGTGTCTACACTTCCTTCCAGCACTGGAGTTATAGACATGTTTTATTTCTATGTGGGTGCTGGGAATCTGAACTCAAGTCCTCAGTCTTTCATGAACAGCACCTTCCCACTGGGTCATACCCTCATAAAGCACACTTCTGTGTGTGTGTGTGTGTGTGTGTGTGTGTGTGTGTGTGTGTGTGTATGTGTGTGTGTGTGGTGTGTGAAGATATTTCCTAGAAGATTGACTGTGTAAAACCTTGAATGTAGACAGTCTCATTCCATAGGCTGGGGGGGCCGGAAATAATAACAGAGGAGGCGGCTTGCTACCACAGGCAATTCATTCTCTCTCTCTCTCTCTCTCTCTCTCTCTCTCTCTCTCTCTCCCTCTCTCTCTCTCTCTCTTTCTCCTTTTTGATCATCATGATGGCAGCTGCTCCAACATTCTCTTCCCCACTCACTATGATGGACTGAATCCTCTGAAACCAAAGGTCAAAGTGAACCTTTCCTTCTTCAGTTGTTTTTGCTCAGGCATTTTGTCACAGTAACAAAAAAAGCCCCCCACACCCTCCAACTTCATTTCTGTCTGCCTCAGTCTCCAAGATGTCCCCTCATTGCTTGTTTCATGTGCTGCTCATCCATGCTTCCTTGCCTTCATCCAAACAATTCCACCTCCCTGGGAGGACCACTTGCTTTCTTCATTCCTTGTCCTTCAATGACAATTCTGACCGACCTCCAGGGGACACCTCTGCTAGTTCTGGCCAGTCCTCCCTCCCTATCCTCCTCCCCTGGTTCATGGTTCAGGTTCCCAGGCCAGGGCAGGGACTCACTCCTGGCAGTTGCTGTCAAAGCTGAAGACGCATTTCTGCAGACTGTCTAAGGTCATGAGGCTGATGTGCTCAAACATGTCCAGATGGGCGCTGCCCTTGGAGGTCAGGCGCTGCCACTTGGCCTGGCCAGAGAAGTGGACAGGGCTGGTCCTTGGTTCCTTGAGCCCCTGCCCAACTCCAGACACCAGGGGACACATACACACACACACACACACATACACACACACACACACACACACACACACACACACACACACCAGAACCAGCCTCTTAGTCCTCTGACCCAGGCACCTGACTCCTGGGAAAACCAAAATTGGGTAGGAGCAAAGGTGTTACTATAGAAGAGGAAGGCACAAGTCAGGAGCTCTGAGTTCAGTTCCCCTTTTTGGTGGTGGTGTTGGTGGTGTTGTTGAGACGGGGTCTCACTAGGCAGCCCTGGTTGGCTTGGAATTCACTATATAGATCAGGCTGTTCTTGAATTTACAGAGCTCTGCCTGCCTCAGCCTCCTGAGTGCTGGGATTATGCCACACGTCCAGCCTCAAGTCCACTTTCTGTGTGCCCTTCTTCAGCTAGCCATTGTACTCTCCTCAGTACCACCTCTTAAGTCTTTAGTAATAATTAAGTTGATCTGATCTGTTGCCCTATAAACCACACTTCAATGCCTGCTCCACTGCTCTGCTCTCTTACTGCTGGTGAGCTTGGAAAAGAACACTAACCTTGGCCGGGTATGGTGGTGCCTGCCTTTGATCCCAGCACTTGGGAGGCAAAGGCAGGTGGGTCTCTGTGAGTTCAAGACCAACCTGGTCTACAAAGTGAGTTCCAGTGCAGTTTGGCTACAGGGAGACCCTGTCTCAAAAAAAAAAAAAAAAAAAAAAAAAAAAACCTGCTGACCTCTCTAACCCTTGATTCATCATCCATAATGCAGCATAGTCATCACTACCTCAGAGCAGTGTGAAAATTTCATTAGACAACTGACATCACTGGACTGGCACATTGTTTCTGGTATAGAATAGGTGCTCAATAAATCATAAATGATAGTTTGCTGTCATTATCATCCTCATTAGTATAGTGGTAAGCGGCTGCAGAAATCATCACACACAAACATGCACACACACACACACACACACACACACACAAAAGAACTCACATGCATGATATTCACACTCTGGTTAAAAATCTTCACATAGGGCTTCAGGATGTCAAAGCGGAAGGCAGGTGTCAGCAGGTGGCGGTAGTGGCTCCACTTGTCACCAGCACTCACCAAGAGCCCATCCCCTGATAGGGCAGCCATGGCAGTGGGAAATGGTAACACCTTCTCCTGACCCCCAAGGGTGTCCCTGACCCTCACCTTGAGATACTCACCAAGCCAGGGCTTCAGGAAACCATAGAAAGTCATTTCCTTGGGAGCCACCAAAGCTGTCATGAAGGAGGGCCATCAGGAACCATGGAGAAGGTAGGGAATGGACTTTAGGAAGGGATGGGAACTCCCAGCCAAAGCCTTGCACATCCCCTCCAAGTCCAGAAAGATAGGGAGTGGGGACAAAGGAAGCAGGGAGAAGGGAGGAGGGACCAGGCTGCAGCAGGTAGAACAAAGGAACAGCCTGACACATCACAACACATCCCAGCATGCCTTCACATGGTTCCTATGTTATCCAACATGTCTTTCATATCTGAACCAAGCACAATTCTCTACAGACCTTTACAGAGACCTAGGACACACTGTCTATTGCAGCTCTCTGACATGTCCTGACACACTCTGAGACATATGACATGGACACATATTATCATAACCTGTCATGGACACAGCACACATGGTCTTCCTTGACATGACACAACATGGTCTGACATGGGCATGCAACAGTCTGACATGATCTGTGTCCTTCAGATAATCCCAGACAGGGTTTAAATATGGTCCCATTAATGTCCCAAATGTGACCTAAACCTGCCCCAGAATCCCCTAGATCTCTCCTCCAGTCTATACTAAGTATTAAGTATTCCAGGTCAAGGACTCCCTATCCTGAGACTACAGGGTGTGGCCTCCATGCCCTTCATCAAGAGCTGCCCCCTCCATCCACTCAAGCAGACCCAGAACCAGCCAGACACAGCTGACCCCACTGTGCTGTGGTGGCTCTGCCCTCACAATACTCTTCATACCATTTCCCTCCCAAATTGCCCTCCAGCTTGGGGTCCCTTCCATCAGAAGTGGCCAATAACTGAATACTTAGTGCTGTGTGCCTCCTTCAGCTTCACTTTCCTAAACTCTAATCCTTTCTATTCTGGTCTGTTCATCTAGCCTACTTCGAAACTCTGTTAGAAGGGGTGTCGTGGCTTCCATTCCTCGAAACAATCCTTTAGGTAATGTCCTGACAAGTAAGTCAGAATATGCTAATGACCCCAATTTTTTATCTGAAACAGTATTGTTTATTGAGTTTGGTCTTGGAAATCTTTTTAAAAATATATTTGTATTGAACTTTTGTGTATTTCATATACAACATCTTAGTCCTCTTTATACCCCCTTCTCCATTGTCACCTCCCATAGCCCCCAACTACTGGATTTCATGCCTTCTGTCCTTTATGTTAAGGCCTATTAAGTCAAGTTAGTGTCCCCTGATGCCACTCAGTGCAAGTTCATACACTGGATGACCCCACTTCTAAAAAGAAGAAAATGATGGATTGTTGCAATAATGTTTGTCTGCTCTATATACTGAGTTCTATGAGAAAATGGTCATTAAATGAATCTCTACCTTGTTTTGAGACAGGGTCTTACTATGTAACCAGGCTGACCTTGAACTCACAGAAATCTTCCTGCTTCTGCTTTCTAGAGTGCTAGGAATTAAAGGTGTGTGCCATCACATTCAGCATATCTCTGCATCGTTATTCTATTTTACTACTAGAGTTATTTTCCCATAAGGGAAAATACTATCTTAAGTCTACATAAGGAGCTTCATCTTCTGATTTTTTTGTTTTTATTTTTTAAAGCACTATTTAGTACATGAGTTTCCTACTTTGTTTCTGTTTAAGAGTGCACTCTGAAGCAATTATTTTTAGTTGTTCATTAATGTCTAAAACAGTATGAAGCAATCAAATCACTGTGATTGGATGATGAACCTGATGTGTCACCCAAACCAGGCAAATTTAAGGGAATCCCAGAACCCTTCCTGAAATTACAGAGATTTTTCCTGGGGGTTGAGCGTCTGGGACTCATCCTTCCTCACAAGAGACTGAAACCCTCAAAGAAAAGAAAGAAACAGAACTAAGAGATTATGACTCTTGGTGGTATTTTTGCAACCTAGACCCAACTGTGCCTGAGGACCACCTCCCTGGACTTTACTATCAGTATATTCCTTTTGTTGTTGTTGTTGTTTAAGTGTGCAACATAAGGCCTTGTACATGATAGGCAAGTGCTCTACCATCAAGCTACATCTCCAGTCTCTTTCTTTGCTTTCTTTGAACCACACTGAGCTTCCTTAACTCACAATTCAACAGACCTCAGTAGTCAAGAAGACACAAGATCTTGTACAAGATCAGTGGGGTTAGTGGTAGAGCTGTGGCCTCTGTAGGACATGACTCCATCCCCCTGCTCAGCCTGAGCTGTACAGGAATGGGAAGGGTTAGAAGAAGAGGCAGTATATAGGCCAGAGTTTGAGATCCTGAGAGAGATACCTGGAGCCTGGAGCACAGGGGCAATGAACTTAGGATGGACGAGCCTCAGGATGGGATAAAAAGCCCCAATCCAATAGAGGTGGACATCTTGGAAGTAGTGGCCCATATGTGTCAGTAACTGCATGCCTTCCTCGTTGTTCTTGACCTGCAGATAAAGAAGGCCGAGGCTAGTCCTGGCAGGGTGCCTCAGATGCTCACACTCTCTGCCCATCACATTCCACACCACTCTTACTCTTCTAATTGGCTCATTCATCTGTGGTTCTTGATGAGTCAACCTGAGTTAAACTATGTGCATCTCTTTCTATATCCATGTCTCTGTCTAAATGCATCTCCCTGATTCTCTTTGACTCTTTGCTTCTTGTTTTTTTTTTTTTTTTTTTTTTTTTTTTTTTTTTTTTTTTTTTTTTTGAGCCACCATGCCTGGCCATCTCTATTTCTTAACTAAATAGATGATAGATTAGAGAGATAGATAGATGATAGATAGATGATGATAGATGATGGATAAATGATAGATAGATAGATAGATAGATAGATAGATAGATAGATAGATAGATAGATAGATAGATAGATAGATGATACATAGATACATAGATAGATGAAGATAGATAGATAGACAGATGATAGATAATAGATAGATAGATAGATAGATGATACATAGATATAAAGATAGATAGATGATAGATAGATAGATAGATGATAGATTGATAGATAGATAGATAGATGATGATAGATGATAGATAGATAGATAGATGATAGATTGATAGATAGATAGATAGATGATGATAGATAGATCGATTATATATAGATAGATGATAGATAGATCGATGATAGATGATAGACGATAGATAGATAAGAGATGATAGAAATAGATAGATAGGTTGATGATAGATAGATAGATTGATGATAAGATAGATAGATGATAGATAGATGATAGATAGATAGATGATGATAGATGATGGATTGATAGATTGATAGATAGATAGATGATGATAGATAGATCAATTGGATGGATTAATGGATGGATAGATAGATAGAAAGAAAGAAAGAAAAG